CAGATAGACATCTGCTGTAGTGGAATTGTTTCCCACATAGAGTATAATCCATTAAGGTAAATTCAAAAGTTATTAGAAAATGGTCAGACAGAAGAGGGTTATGGGGAAAAACTATTAAGTGTTCAGTTTTGATGCCATACGTCAGAACAAGATCAAGAGAGTGATTAAAACAGTGAGTGGGTTTATTTACAGTTTGAGAGAAGCCAACTGAGTCTAATAATGAACAGAATACATTGTTGAGGCTGTCATTGTCGGCATCTACATGAATAGTAAAGTCGCCTACTATGATTATTTTATCTGTACTAAGCACTAAACCGGAAGTGAATACTCTTACCACAGGAACAGGAAGCCGGGGCATTCTCCAATCCAGGACAGAAAACATATCAAAAGATGACTGGAGCATACTGACTGATTTGTTGCTTTTAATGGTGCAAACAAATGCTACTAAGGTTTCAACACCATTGTGTCTTCATCAGAGTCAAAGGCATAGGGTAAAATGCACATTGGGTTATTATAGTTATATAATTATAATATTTACATGACTATAAAATATTTCATAAAATGCAATAGCACACATGGTCCATGTGCTGAAATGTCCCTGTGGTTTGGTGTTTCAACCTTCTAGAGGTGGAAATATTGTGAATAAGCTGCTTCATAGCGGGGCGTACTGGATTCACACCCTAAATGCATTTGAACCTCTGGCTTTAATGATTTGGCCGGTCCTGCTTTCTTTACGATATTAGCCTAATATGACCATATTGTGGCTTTATTTTAAGTAAGTGTTGATTTTGCATACACGTAGACAAACACTGCACAAAACAGAGTTGGTTTTAAAATGTTTATTTTTTTTTATTCTCAGTTAAATAGCTGGTCATGCTTTATTATACATGCAATAATAAGTAGGATTTTTACATTCATTCACAGGACCCATTAAAAAAACTACACTACACATACACAGCATTCACGAGACTCAAGCACACACGGACAGTAGGAGAGATGAACGCCACACATCGTCACACATGCCTGCTTTTGGAAGATGGGTGTTTGGAACAGCACAAGTGGTAGTGCTGAGCTTTGTTTCAGTGGACAACTACATCTATCAACTCGCACATTCCCAAGTAACACATCATAATGTCTCATTACAAAGTTAGTTACAGAGCACCTTTTTGAAATTGTGTTTGTGTTTTAATTATCCACTAAAAGGAAACACTAGGCACGTTGTTTTTGGTAGTCAAAAGGAAAGACACTTGTTAAGTGAGGGTTTTTGCAACTTTCATGTACAGTAGCCGCTGTGTGTTGTGCATAAGATAAAAGAGTAAAGCCAAAGATAGAGGAAAGAAAGAAAGAAAGGTCTGAGTCTGGCACCATGCTTCAGATTCAGACTTTGGTCATTTTAGAAGTAGAAAATAGTACATAAACAAGTAACTTTGTTATACATATGGAGATGCAAATTAGGATGTATCATTTTCTCATGGACTGAAAAGAAATAAAACATTAGAAATTATTCATTTATCAGTTTTTTCAGTGACTATTGAAGTAAATTGATTTAGAAGTTTTAAAAATGTATCCTTTACCACAAAATCCATAGCCAGCTTTAATAACAAACATACATCAACATCAAATTCATGACAGAACACTTACTGTAACTACAGCTAAGACACAAGGGTTGAATGAAAACACACTACAACGAAAATGGCTCTCATAATAATGTAAAATCTGTTAAAACTACCCCAAAACTCAAACACAGGTTTAAGTGTGGGTGTAAGACAAGGATTGACGGAGTGACAGAGACAGTGTGACAAGACAGAAAACCATTCTACTCAACCAGAAGCTGCCTGGTCTTTTCATCTAATCAGCAAGCGGCAACAACGGCCAAGTCAGTTGGACTTGCACCGGCCTTAACCTTCAACTGCTCCAGGTCTGCTTCAGTTTAGCCACCTTTTGTTAGATAAACCATCAAAGACACAGACACTCAAGCACACACACATAGAGAGAGCCATAGCAGGGGTCAGGGGGTCAATCAGGCAACATGTGAGCGGCTCCAGGATGAACTTCAGCAAACACATCTATGATGATGACTGCACAGACTCAGCACAAAGCATGCAGGGGTGGAGAAGGGGGCAACAGATTGTGTTGCTATCTACAGTACCAGCCAAAGAGAAGGGACAGTAATAGGAGGGGGGAGGGATTTAGCGTACATTAGAGTGTTATCAGAGGTGGATGGGAAGGTGAGTTTAAGGGATGACAAGATTTCATCCTTTTCATCCTCTTTTTGTCCCCACTTTAGTCCCGTGTTCTTGAAAGTCTGCCCTCATGCTGTTGGAAAGGGTTGAAGAGAGGGACTTCAGCGCTTGGCTGGAGAAGCACTCCTGCTTCCCTGTATAACAAATAAGACATATGAAATAAAATCAATAAAGTCACATATATGAAAATGACAGTGCTGCCGGCTTGGTTCAGCATTAAAGGACTATTCTGATGGTTTGGGAGTCTGGCCTGTTGGGGATATCACTCAGTATGTGATGAGTAGGCAGCGCTGTTGGACAGCCTTCTCAGAAATTGATTAGAACACATCATGGGAAATAAATAATTGTAGACTATAAAGTCTGACATCGACAATTTTAATCTACGCAATTTTTGTGAATCAACACTGATTTAAAAAGATGATAGGTTTAGCTAAGCTGTCACTTCCTGTGTTCCTGAAGCCTTTCAGGCTTATTTCATCAAGCATGAGAGTTGTAGTCACACATCATTAAATTATTTAACTTTCACACCTTTTTTTTTTTTTTTTACAGTTTTTCTTGATTGCTTTGACCTGTTTAAAGAAACTAGGACCCACTCAGTTTTCATCATCACTAACCCAGCAGAGCAGAAGACACATATTGCAAATGTGTAAACACGTTCTCATTGGATTGACACATCCCCCCCCCCTTTTGCAAAACAGTTAACATGGATGTCATTCAAGCAGTCCAAACTCCATTGTTTTAGCTATGGTAACCAAAGAGAAACCATCTATTCCTAACTATTAGAAACTACCAAGATCAGTGTGAAATCACTAAAGCACCTGTTTGACACTGTATTTTTTATTTTGTTGTCCATTGTGTAATGACTGACTGAAAGAGCTCATATACTTGTTTGCAAGTTGTGCTGTTTGGAGGCAAAAATTCCTTTTGTTGCATATTTTAAATGTTTTGGCATGGCTAGAGCCTTTTGCAAACAAAATGTGTCATTTTGCCATCAGTGATACTGTTTAGGCAGGTGTGTTAACTGTTTTGAAAATGTGGAGTTTCAATTGACGGCTGCTTCAAAGCAATCAAGAAAAACTGTAATCTTTAGCCAGTGCTTCTGTTGAATAATGAGTTTGAACACTGCAAAGTCAGAGTAAAGGCAGAGCAGGATTTTAATGTGAGAACTAAACAGGGATTTTCAGGCCTGTAATGATGCACAGATGGAGAACAGAGAGATGCATCATAGGCATTTGGACACGGGCACAATTTATTTTGCAATTTTGCCTCTGTACACGACCTCACTGGATTTGAAAAGAAGCTGTCAATAAGTGTAGACTTTCAGCTTTAATTTGCAGAGTTTCACAGAAATATTACACGAACCATTTAGGAATTACAGCCACTAAACTAAACACACATTAAAGTTTTTGACTGCTTCATTTCAAATCCATTGCAGTGGTGTACAGAGGCAAAAGTACAGAAATGGTGTCCTTGTCCAAACACTTATGGACCTGACTGTATAAATATATATATAATTTTGTGAAGACAAATGTGTGAGATACTAAGTCAAAGCTATGAGAAAGTAAGAGAACACTGAATCAATAGTCAAAACAATGTTATAAAAAATATGAGAAAGTGAGTTGAAAGTGTGATAGTCAAAATCCTGAATAAAATGACTAGAATTATGGGATAATTATTGAAAGTTTGGGCTGTGTTTTTTTAAGTAAAGTGAAAAAATGTTGCATCTTATCATTTTTGGTTTTCAGGCATTTCATCCTTTCAGAAGCAAACGTTTTGTTTTTGTTCCCAAAGTGCCAGATGAGATGTTCTGTGTTTAAATGCAAAGTAGTCTCTGAGACTATATATTTGTTTGCCTATCACACTCTCTCATTCAGATCATAAATCAGGAACAGTAGAGGACTCTGAAAGGCAGGAACATTAAACAAATGAGACAAAGTTTTATGGATGGCTTTCGTTCTAGGCTATTGTTCTAGCCATTTCAGATTAAATTTATTATCTATCCCAAAAAAGAAAAACAATATACAAACACATTATTTATAAAAAATAAAAAAGGCAAGCAAGAGTGCTAACAAAAAGCAGGGGCACCATTGACAGTTATGCAGTGAAGATGTTATTCCTGACTTTTGAATTTGTCTATTTTTTATGAATGTGGGCATGTCTTGTGCAGCTGAGCACATCCTCCTTCAGTATGAGCACACTAGCTATGTACACATAGTGCCTACTTAGAGTCATATCTGAAATCGAAAGCTGAAAATCAACAGAAGCAAAGTGTGAGACATTAACGTCAGAACGCAAATATGGCTTTATCCTCATTCCTTTTAGGAACGTGATGTCATGTACAGGGGTGTGTGTGTGTGGAAGTAAGGATATGATGGCACGTCAATGATAATTACTCGCATCTGAAAGATTTGAAACGTCTCAGAAGTTTTTCATCTGCAGAGCTGTTTACTCTCTTGTAGTATAATGACAACAATTTAGTTGGTTCAGATGAGGATTCAGCCCTGGGGAAATTTGGATTTGTCTCTAGCTTCAGCAATAGCACAGATAACTAATGTAAGTGAGAGTGGCTGGCTAATTAAAACTTATCAGGGAAAAACTGGCAGAGCATGAACGCTGCCCCTTTTTTTATTATACAGTATATGAAAACAAATAAACTAATAAGCTGTTTCTTTGTAAATTGGAAAGACAAGCAGTTGAAGTGCTAATGAATACGAAGCCGAAAAGCTGCATGAGTGTAGTACAATATGAGGATGCCTAAACTTTCAGAATGGAAGTTTTGACAAACTTGCTTCTGTTCCCAATAAAGTTTTGACATTTTGTGTTTGGGAGCTTTTCAGCAAACACAGTGAGATTAGCTTCAGTTTTAAACACAGTGAGATTAGCTTCAGTTTTTTAGAGGGACTTTAATGCAGATTTGTATTGTTTTAAAAAATGTTCCATAATAAATTTTTGGTCAAAAACCCATACAAAAGCACAAAGTTAGATTACAGGTAAGGACAAGACCTGACCTAATCTACTTTATTTTGAATCCCCTATTTATTAGCGTTAAGGAGTCTAAGAACAATTTAAAATTGCATTATAATGTACTTGTAAGTAGTTATACAGTATAGTACGTGTATATATTTGTCAACAGTTGTGATGGCTCGAGTTGCATCCATACCTGAAACTGAGAAAAGCAATTGACATCCACTATTCTCTATTCCATATTTTATAGAACAATGTTGCTTTTGATTTTCGATGCAAGATAAGATGTTTTGAAAATGGCATTGACAAAAAGACCCTTAACCTAAAATGTTGCAGCCCACCTCTTGGCAGGTGTTAATGAGGCACAACAAAGCAACTCCTTAACATTAATCAGCCTCTTTCATGTCTCACACTGATGTTCTTTACTTCTAAAGCTTCATTTGTTTCTGCTGTGAACATAGAGTTGATGTGTTGTTGTTTCACTGGTCTAAGGGACACACTCCCAGATGCATTGAAGCTTGTCTACTTCCATGGAGCCCATTTTCACTCAGAAAGCAATGTATGGTGTGGCTGGACACTGTTTTTGTATTCTGTATATGTATTTTTCTTTCTGAACTACCATTCTGTGCAATCTGAGGTTAATTTTCCACTTCTGTGGGTAAGGTCCCATGGACCTTACACTTGTTATTAGCTATACTGGTCACAGGAACATCAGGCTGCTTGGAAACTGTACTATAGTACAACTATTTTCTTCCTTACAGCTCACCTCTCTGTTTCTCTCTCTCTCCCTCTCCCCATATTCAGTGTGGTGGATGCAGTGATGCCAAACAGCACAATGAAACCAGTTCTCAATTTTAATTGGCTGGAGGATTGATTAAAATTGATTAATTGAAGACAACAGTCTGCTTGAAATATCACTATAATCCATCACTTTAATCCACCAAAAAATCACCACTTCTGTTGGGTTACCAACAGAAGTTGGGTTACTTTTTTAAAAGATCCAAAGGCTTGGAAGTAGGCATGATATTTTCAACACTATTTAGGAAAAATGGAGCATTGTTTAAATTAGCCACTATTAGCCACTTCTGAGTGTCAGTCCTGCGATAGAGTGGCGACCTGTCCAGGGTGAGCCCTGCATCTCGTCCAATGTCAGCTGGTCCATTGATTGGCTTTTCAGGTGTACGCTGTGCCTTGTGATTAGTTTTATATTCTGGCAACATTTGTTTGAAGTGCTCCAGAGGACCTGAAGGAGCATGTCATGCTTGGTAAGTGATTGACAGGATTGCATATTAATGTTACACTGTACATCTTGCAGTAAAGCAAATACACTATGTTAGCTATAGCCCTGCTGGACCCATATCAGACCTGGATCTTTCCCCTCCAGTGCGGTTACATCAGAGCTTGCATAAAGCTTGTAGCATGCACAGTGATTGATGGTGTGTCTAAAGGCCTCTTATGACAGTGCTGCTGCTGCAGTAGTAGTAAGGTGATTAGCATGTCTTCTAAGCATAGCAATGTGGACCAAGTGCTGAGTGAATTAAACTCATGTCCTTTCATCAAGTATCAGTTACTCACTCTGCTGCTGATATCATCACTGAGGCAGGAAAAAACAGGGGCAAGACAGTGATTAGGGAAATAATATATTTAATAATGATGACTTGGAAAATGTTTGATAAGCAGCTTTTGTTTTTACCATTTTGAAGATCCTAGTCAGGGTGCCTCTGCTGTCCCCTGCACCGGCCTTCTTGGCTTTAGCAGAGTGTGACTTCTGGTGGCCCTGGCAGAGGGAGAAAAGGAGTCAGTGTAACAAGAGTCTATGAGATGTTTGTCAGGGGGTTAAGATGCAGCAAATCTTTGCACAGACAGCCCATATTGCCTATTCAGTTCAGCGGAAGGCAGTGAAAAAGAGAAGACAGGAGACACAGGACCTCCTTCTCCACGGTGCACTCAGGAATGATTGATTGACATGCTCTAAAAAAATACAAACTACTGGGAGAAAACTTCATTACGCAACAGCTGACTTTCTGAAAACTTGATAAATTCTCTCATGTGACCATATGACAGTCTACTGGTACCTACATATTACAGTACTATGACAATGTGTCATTTAAAAACATGACACCAAATGCTAATCCGTTCCTGAAAAGTCTTTTATTTGTTGCATCCTATTGACATTAAGGAGGCCTACTTATTCATGTCCTCACAGCAGAGAAAATCAGAAAGCTGCTGATGTTTAATCCCATATATACATGAAAATGAATTACATGAACTGTTTCTCATTCCACGAGGAAAGAAATTAGAAACTTTATGAAAATAACTGAAGTGTCATTATCTATTCGCAGTTGTTCTCATTTACTAATTTTTTTTGTTTCTGTTTAGCCCAAAAACACTATATGCAAATCCTCTGTCATTCCCAAGCTACTGTAGCTTTATAGTTACAATGTCGTGTGATGAAATGATCATAAATCCTAATTAATGACAACAGCTCTGCTTTGCATTTGGCTGTGTTGGCATTTGAAATGGCCAAACCCAAAAAATGCTAGACGTGACTAAAGGTTGTCTTCTTAGCTTTACTGTCACTGTGACACTGGGCTGGTTTCATTGTTTCACAAAAGTTCCTTGAACACACTGAAATACCAAACTTGGCATTTTAGACCAACATGCTATGGAGCTTGTTTTGGAAAAGCTTCATTTTGAGAGGAAAGCAACATACATAATTCTATTCTGGACAAAGAGGTAAAGCTGAGAGAAAAAGATCCATATACTTGAAGAGATAATTGATTCCAGACTGCCAAAAGAACACACAAACACACGCACGCAGTGAAGCCAATGCAGCCGTTGAAACAGATGTGGGCTGCTTGCTCAACAGGAACATTATATAGACTGGAATATGCTTAGCAGGAACACCAGGCAGCTCCAGAGATGATCTGTTTGCCTCTGAGCCCACAGGACCTAAGACTGGTTTGAACTAGCTACAGCGTCTTTTAACAGCTTCTGATGAAATAGCAAAAACAGACTGATCCACTCTCTGCTATAGAGACAGCATATAAACCCCAGCTTGGAGACTGCAGAGGCTGGGTGCAAGGTTGCGTACTATCAGATTGAAGGGTTGTGTGTTAGTATAGCTTTTCTCTTCCTTTTTAAAATTACTATAGTCTTGCCAGGGGTTCTCCTGGAGACAAAGTAGCCAGGTTTCAAGAGCTGCACTATCCCTATCCATTTTCCTGTATAACAGTAAAAGAATTTACCTGGGAAATTAAACTTTGTTGGGGTTTCACCTGGATACAAAGTTGCCAAGATTAGACATTCCTTGTATCTGCACACACACCAGTCCCCCTTTGTCTCAATTCACCTTGTATATACTGTAACTCTTTTCTTTCCTATCTTCATCATGTCCTCAACTATCTTTCCTGTGCATTTCTTGTACAGGATATGCTGTACTAGGACTACTCCCGGATAAGTCAGGAACTTAAAGTTAATTCATATTACCTAGATTTAATTTAGGAGGTTTTTCATTTTAAAGTTTATTAAAGTTGATGTTGTAATTAAATGCAATGTTGAGCCAGGGAAATGCCTGGAACACTGTGCTTGCCTGGAAGGCTGTAGCAACCTTCAAATCAAATCTGGCTTTGCTTTGCAAAGCGAAATACAGCCAGCAAAGTGATTATCAGTCAGCTCTGTTGTGGTGGCTAGAATGTACTATTTGGTCCTTGGGTGGCATCCTTGTATTCTGAGCCCCTCATTTTGTTAATTCAAGGTCCAAAATTGTACTGTGGTCCTAAGCCTGGCACAATCTTCGATGACTTGTGATTTGAGAGCTCTTGTGTGTAATCACCTTTAATGGACAGTTTAAAAAAATCAGCTCATAGACAGGGAGGCATCATGGCTCCTTGGAACCACCAACCAAGCCCATTTCACACTTCAAACTGCAATAGCCCCCTGACAACATGTTAAAATAATAGCAAAAGATCTTAATTTTTCATGTTTCTAATTGTGCAACCCAATTTAAACCATAATCACCACAACCCGGAGAAGGCTATTTATGCCTTCATTAGCTCCAGACTTGATTATTCCACTGCAATATATCGTATGGAGGGCTTAGTCAACCTTCACTCTTCCATCTTCAGTTGGTGCAAAGTGCAGGTGCTTGGCTGTTAACTCATATCCCTAAACGTGAGCATATTACAGCTGTTTGATTTTCTCTACATTAGCTTCCTTTTAATTTTAGGACTGATTTTAAACTTCTGATGGTTGTTTTTAAGGCGTTAAATGGTCAAGCTCCCCCCATCTCGCTGAGCTTTTAATTCCCTGTAGGTGTTCTAGGGCCCTCAGATCAGCTGATCAGTGCTTCCTGTAGGTACAAAAGATGACCAGGCCTTCACTGCCTCGAAGCTATGGAGTACTTTAACACTTAAGCTACGCTTGATTTCAAACCTTGCTTCCTTTAAAAATAAATTAAAAACCTATTTATTTAAATTGGCTTTCAGCTCCCAATAGAATTTTTTTCACTTGGCATTTTGACTTTTTAACTTTCTGCCTCTTGTGATTTTATTGTTGATTGCTTACATTATTTTATTGGTTTTATTTTATTGTTTTGTTTTTATCTTATTGTCTGTGAAGCATAGTGGGTCAGTCTGCCAGTTGTTGTAAAGTGCTATACAACTAAATGCTGATTTGATTTGATAATCTTGTCAATGAACATCCAATGTGTGCCACCAGTGCACGATAGAAGTGTGATACATAGACAAAACTGTCCTCTGCATATGGGAATGTGTACCTTTACCACCGATGGTTCGAGCAAAAGGTTCTTTTTAATGTACACTAACTATCTATGTAACTATGTAATACACTGCAAAATTCTGAAGAAAAAAAAAAAAATCATCCTGTCCTCATTAAAAAGTCAGACAGCCCTGCTTTCACCCAAAGGCAATTATATTTTGCTCCCCCTTTGTAGATCCCCTCAGAATGAGCACACACATTTTTACTAGGACACATGTACAAGGATCTTCAATTAAGTGCTGATAATGAAATGAAGGAAGCAGAAGGCAGCCTCACTTTAGCCAGCCACAGAGGATTTTTTGAAATGAAACAAGGATAAGAGCATAATGGTACCTGCATGACCAAGAATGTAAAATATAACACATAATAAGGAGAAGTCAGACTGCAAGCTCCAAAAGGTAGGAAATGAGATGTTATCACTGATGTATGGAGAGATTACAGTGGCTAATGTGGTTGAGGGAGACAAAATGGAAACGCAACCACATGTATTATGTCCAAAGGTGGTTTGAGAAGATGACCTCACTTGCCCTTGCTTCAGTTTAATTAGGCATGATACCTCTATAATTTTGTAGTTTTTAAACTACCTACCAGGCCTATTTTGGCTGCTAGTCGTCTCCACTGGATGTGTAGACAAACAAGCCACAAGCACAAGAGGTAAAAGGGAGAGGGGACAAATAGAAATGTGTGTCAAAAAGGAGGAGGAGAAAAGAAGAGAGGAGCAAGGCAGATGCTAACACTGAAAAGAGCACTAAATAGTGACATTTAGCAGCAACAAAGCCAAAGACACACAGCACATAAACAATACTGACAAAATGACAAATTGTTATTGGGCTTTGGACCACGGTCTGTTCTGGATGGTAACTGTCAAACTAAGTCACAATGTCTAAAGGAAAATCTCAGTGTTGCTGGTAAATATTGGCTTTAAGAGTTTAGAAATCTTTATTGTTTAATGTACACATCAAAAGTAGTAATGTAAAACAGACTCACCCTAGACTTAGGACGGGCAGGGGACACCTGAAGAATAGTTATTGACAGAGTTAAAAGGTTTGACAGAGTTAGTGAAAGATGAGACAAAGTCGAAGCTGAAGGGAAAAGAGAAAAACTTGGAGGAATACTGGCAGCAAAGGGCACAGAGGCAACACTGCTGAAGCAAACCCAGGATCCTGCAAATGCTTAAGAAATAAGAATATAGTTCATTTTGAACATTACTCACGATCGTGCGGAAGAAATGGACCACAGCATTCTCTCCTCCACGCTTACGTGGGGAGGTTGCAGAGGCTTTCTGAGGGGCTGGAGACAGAGCACCTCGGAACGATCCCTGCAAAAGGAAGAAAAGGAGCCATAGACATAACATGTTCAATGTACACTCATATGCAACACAAGGACCCACTTGCTCAAATATAATAGTTTCAGTTAGATTTTCTCACAATCTTTAATAATAAATGTAAGATCACTAACATTATTTGAAGTAAGGCACTAGCCTGGGACTGCTACAGTCAAGAAACGTTCACTTTTTTGAGGTTACATGAAAGCTATTAAAATAATACACAATTTAGTCTCTTGTTGCAAGTCCGACCTACTGAACACTGAGGATAAAAACACCAATTTGAAATTTCTAAAAGCATTATACTTTATCCTGTTGCCATAGGCGTTGGCTGAAATGGTAATAATTCATTTTGAATCGATTGGTAGCTTATGTAAGAACATTATATTACGCAGCAGCTTTTGTACATTTAATAATATATGAATGGGCCTTTTCTTATACCGGCTGTTTTTACAGGCCTGCAGCATTTCAGGTGGAAGGTGGCGTGATTATTAGTCAGCTACTTGTGGTGTGAAGGAAGCAATAAAGGCCGCAAAGCCAGACACCTATTTAATATTTATGTCTTTTGCCATTGAAGACTGATAAGTTTCACCTTTTGCTTACAACACCTGTGTAGTCTTTACATGTAGGAATTTAAGGTGGAAAAACCGCTGAAAACTCACACCCTAGATGGAAGTGGCTGGTAAGTTGCAGCAGTTCTGAATATCAATGCATTTTCATCCTTAGTGCTGCCGATTCAACTGTGTAAAACAAAAAATTTAAATAAAAAACTAATAATGTTTTTTCTTAACTTCCTTCTGCCCAAAGATATCAGCTGAAGTTTGTAGCATTTTCTTGTCAGTGGCTTTATCTTAAGAAGACAAATTGTCCTCCCCAAGTACAAACCAATGTAGCCAAGTGCTTCAGCCTTAATGGAATGTCAGTATGAGTGCTTAATAAGGTCGATATCCTCTGACATCTGTGCTTGAGTAAAAACATTTTACTCCATTTTTAAAAAAAACAAAACTTTTATTACTTAATGCAAACAGCACAGGCACATAAAAGGTGAAAAGCATAACTTCTCTATTACCAAAGGCCACCATCAACCCACAGCCTGTGAGAACAAAACTCATTTCCACCCACTTAGTAAATTCAGTCTTTTCTGTTAATGTTGTCTCATTCGTCCCTTTCTCTGACCCCAGTAATGTAACATGAAAATTGAAATGTGTTTATATGTGTGTGGGTTGGTGGTGGTGGAGCCCAATCAAGTCCATTATCTCACAACAACTGAAACTGAGGGAAAAAACTTTCACTGCCACCATTTACACAGTATGGCAGACATACTTTCTTTTGATAATGAATCAATGAACACTTAGATCAGGAAAAGAGAGAAGGAAACACAATGATAAAAAAGAGACTTCACCTAAAACACAGTCCATCTAAATGGATATCTAGATGGACAGCAACAGTGTAGCTTGTAAAAATGATTTTTTTTTTGTTCCATTTGGAAAAAAACTCGTAATATCCAGCACACACTGTGCGTAATAAAATGTTAGTTCCGTTCTCTTTGTGTTTTTGCATGTCTGTTTTTGTCATGATGTACATTATGGGAAAATGAAAGGGAGGAGAGATAATAGAACAACCTTGCTGGCCACTGCCAGAGATGGGAGAGGAAACAGGAGCCCAAATAATGCTTTATGAATTCTGGCTGGTACAGTCTCACTTTCAGCCAGTTGTGCCTTTGATGTCACGCTCTACTTGGTATTTGTTCCCTTCACTTGCTTTAAAACACTTTTTTCTGAGATGAAACCAAATCACTAGTGCATCTGCTCTCATGAGGATGGATTAATTCGGCCCTCAAAGGCAGATGCATCCAAATGTCAAGTAAATATTATACACACATTGAATGTAATGTGTGTAAAATGGAATGTATTACCCTTCATGGCAATCTATCAGCATTTGTTTAATTTAACTTCCAACAAATTAAACGGGACCAGCTACTTACCAAATTCAGTAGAACTCTGTAACAAATGTCATGACAAACCATCCATTAGTTGTTGAGATATTTTAGTCTGGCCCAAAATGGTGGAGCAAATGGCCAAGTGACCAGCACTGTTGTTCGTACGACCACGTGGCTAACGACAAGTCAGACTACCAGCAACCTTACACTTCAGTATGTTATACTGTATCTAAGACAACAGATCGGCTATTAGAGTGGTATCAATCTGCTCAATTACTCATAGCAAGAAAGCGAGTAAGTGTATTTCCTAAAATGTGGATTTTTTTTCTTAATCCTTGTCTCTGACAGTAAGTATATTGTCTCTCAGATGTTTCTGTTGACACTTGGTATTTTTCAGAATTAGTATGTATAGTATGAACTCAATTGAGGAAGACAAAGAAAGAAATCAAGATTCAGGACACAGGCTAAAGTACAAGGTCTTCTTGTCCACAGAGTACAAATTCATTATCCCAACTGCCTTCACTGAGGTTACAAATCACCTCATTATGGATGATACTTGGTAATTAATCCTGAGCACAGGTGAAAACCTGGAGATTCATGGTTGTGGAGCTCCATCTTATGGCTATTACTGAATACCTTCACGAATCAACATCATAAAATTGTCCAACTATCTTTACTATACTCACACTTCACATACCATCGATGTGAGATATCTGAATTTTCCACAGATCACAGATTTTCTCTGCAGCCCTGAATGAGAGGAAACTGCCTTGTTGTGTATTGTTCAGCCTATCAGCCCTCTATGATGGAAATCTCTCTGCAGAACTATGTAAGATGCATCACATCTATCAACCTGTGCACCTACACTTAACAAGGAAAGGATTAACAATGACTTTTTTCCAGTTTTGTCTGCTGCTTGGTCTTCACCTCGGAAGGCAATCGAGACTTCAGATCAAATCCCAAATAACCAGCCATTATCTGGAGCCATTATCTGTTCCATTGCATTCAACTGATGAAGACAAAACGTTTTTGGGACTGTAAGAAAATGATTAGGGTGGGATGGGAGTTTAGAAAACAGGCAGGGTTATGTAGGTTTGGTATGGTGTTCAAAGTTTATTGAGCAATTGCCAATTAGCATACTGGTGCTGCTGTGCCCTTAAAAAAGATTTTATTTTTCATAAAACAATATTCGACCCCTTCCCCTTCCCACTTATTTTTAGGAAGTACCTTAATGTTTGGCATATTTGCCGAGTAGCACGTGACCAAATCCTACAAATACAATGGTTGGGAAATAGTTGCACTTTGAATTTCTTGAGCTCAGAAGCAGAAGGCCTGTTGTTATCTGCAGCATCACTCATCTTGTATTTAAATTTAATTAAAATGCATGTCTGTTTGAAATCTTCAACAGTGTTTGTTTGGACTGTGTAATACCTTCCTGTGCCATGGTGCCTGGATGTATTTGTTTCTTGCTCTAAGCAAGAGGTTAACACAGTATTGCACCTGAAAGAGGAACGTAAACAAGCCTGTGTTGGCTGAGCTGAACTCAAGACAGTAACTAGACAGCACTCAGAGAGTGCAACCTCCGCCAAGGGGCAGCTCAGTTTCCACATAATGCCATAAAAGCAATATTCCCATGATAGTCTGACCCTCATAATATGATTGTTGACTTTGAAAACCTGCTGCTGGCATTTGGGATGATGCTGACACCATTATCAGTTTGCAAGTTATAGAAATGACAGACAGTCACTTGTTGGTTTAGGGGTAAAACGGGGACTTCAGTCAGTGGGCCGTGGGCAAATTGGTGAAGACGTCCCATTTCTGCAAGTTTGTGCTCTGCTTGTTCAACGGTTGATTGATAAACTGCTCACACAGTCTCCTTTGCTGGCTGAATGTTGCACTACGAAAGCACTTCACAGTCTTTGCTCAGCTGTGAGTGTGTGTGAGAGGAGCGCAGCCCACCCTTCAGCACCAAAATCTAATCAGTTGCCTTTTGGGCCATACCCTGCCTCGCCAAAAAGCTTCACCCAAATCCATTCCTTACTTTGAGTTATGCTGTTAAACAAAACAAGCAGCGGTAAAAACATAACCCCTGCCCTTGGTAGAGGTAACTAATCCTCAGGAACATGCTGCTGCTCGTGTTAGTGCCAAGTTTTTAGACACACTCTAAAAAAGAGAATGAATTTCAATTCACAAGTCTCCATGAGACAAAAAACAATCAGCTTGTAGTGATCACAGATGCCCTTTTAGTAGACAACCTGGGAGTGAAATAGTGAAAGGTGTTTTATTTTCTCCTTTTGTTCTTTAGGCTCACACAGACAAGTCAGCCATCCGTTACTCGGTACTATCCGAGTTTATCAGAGAGATAAACAGCAGCTCCACTTTCCATTAAACCTCAGTGGGTGACTTCTTTTGTTATGCAGTGCACATACTTGTGTGATTAACCGACTGAAATGTGAAATATATTCATTAGTTTTAATGCCTAGAATCTTAAAGATTACTGTATACATAGTCCACGCATGCTGAATGAATACTTAAAGTTTGCTACATCTGGCTGCTTTTATTTGTGACTTGGGGCTAAAAGCTAAGAAGGATAAATTGCAGCACCACCTAAACCATGAGGGTTAATAAATCATAGTGGCTGACTGTGACCAGGTGTTAGCAGAGCAGTTAAAACAGCAGTACCAAAAGAGAGACATGGAGCCAAACACGAATGACAACAAAACAAGGAACGCTGAGGGTGTTGTTTAAGAGTTTTAATCAAGGAATAATCAAAAAAAAAAAAAAAAAAAGAAGCTTAGAACAAAATCAGGTTAGGAACTTGTCACTGGTCACAACAGCTCACAACAGAAATGAACCGTTACAAATATCCACTGCAAAGTTAAAGACAATACAAAACCAGGGATCAGCACTGATCCACTACTGCTGCAAACAAACTCTTGGTCAAAGACTTGTCAACCTGAGGTGAGCTAAGTGATGTGTGACCTGCATTGCATTGTCTGACTGATTATGCATGCTATTCAACTAATGAATATGCAAATTAATACTTAAATATAGTCTCAGCTTTTCATGCATCTTCACTTCTTGAATAGCTAATATTCATGCGAACATAATTTCCCCTGTAATTAAAACATCAGTACCCCTGTAATCTGAATGATCAAATACCCATTAGCATTCATTCATTCATTCATTCATTCATTCATCTTCTACCGCTTAATCGAGATCACAAGGCCCATTAGCATTCAAATTCAGATTTTCTGCAGTTGTTTCATGTCCTGAGAGAGGAGTCTGTCATTTTTGGCATCATTTAACAACTTGTGAAACATATCATGTACTGCTGTACATGATACCATCATAATATTTTCTCAATACACAGACTCAGGCTTGAAAATGATGTAATGAGACAAAAGAAAAAACAACTAGGAACCAGATGGTAAATGGTACCTGCCAAATATTAAAACAATGCAGCATTGCTGTAATAAGCAGGCAACAAAAAACAGTGAGAAAATCTTTCTTTCCAATACTGTAACCTCAAAGTAAACAAACAGGTGGCAAATTAAAGGAAAAACCTCAATCAATGGGTGGTTGCTTCCATCCATAGGGCACAAGGGGTCACTGGATGGTTTGATGAGTATGAAAATGATAAGACTCCTATGCTATCACCTTCACGGTCACCAGATCGCAACCCAGGTGAACACCTACAGGTGATTTTCGAGCAACGTGTTAGACAGCATCTCCACCACCATCATCAAGACACAAAATGAGCGAATATCTTTTGTGTTCCACCCCCCCCCCCCGTAGAGTTCAGAGACCTGGAGAATCAGTGCCAAGATGCGCTCATACTGTTCTGGTGACCCAACACCTCACAAAGATACTTTACTGTATATTGGTTTTTTTTCCTTTAGAATTGTCACCTGTCTGTGGGTACTGTACATAATAAGAATGCCTGTGTCGGTGCACACAGACAATCAGAAATTAAGCTAAAAATATGTCTTCCTGATGAGTTCTTGCTGGAAGAATACGTGTTTACAGCAGAGAGTTAGTGCAGGCGGATTTTTGCTAGATCATGTGAACACTTGTCAGTAGAAGGCAAACCCTTGGTGAACACAAATACAATATATATTTGTACAACTTACATAAAATACTGCAGCAAATTGGTCACTAGCCTAATTCTGCATGAAAGCTTCACAAATGGTTCTGTTGCCATTTTCCCTGAACATTTCCAAAGTGAGATGTGTGTGCAGATTCAGTTTGTTTTCCAGATTTCCAAAGTGAGGTTTTACAAAAGCAAAACACTTGATCATCAGAACATGCTACAGAAAAGGTTTGTAGCACACATTAAACACAGAATCTAGTTTTATCCTGAATCTTATGCTGAACTTTTCATAGTTGACATAAGGCATGGGGGAAATGCATATTTTCATGTTGTTTCATGATTTCTTTGCCAAAGCATTCTAATTAGCGCTGTGTAGAGTTAGAATAGGATATTTTTTTTATGCGATTTAACTCGCTGTACCATAGCTTTCCTTTAAAACCATCATGAGCAGTGCCCATACTTTAGGACAGCTGTCAAACCAGGCGGATGTGACTCTTTTTGAAAGCACTACAACAGGGCTTTGGGACTTTGCTTGTTGCAGCCGTGTTGTCAGGATAACCAAAACTTCAACGCATGTTCATTTGATGTGTGTTTGGTGCTGAAGCTGAAATTCCATGTCAGCAGCACCTCCAGAGGGTGTCACTGTGTGAGTGGACTTATGGTCTGGTTCTTAAAAGCTGTAGCAACAGTGCCAACCAGTCTATTGTTTCTGGAAGTAGAAACCAGTTTGTTGAAAGTGGTGAACAAAGTAGTGCCAGGAGTAGAAAGGGAACCTTTAATAGTGCAGCAAAGACGAAGAATAAACCAATGCCCCCCCCAAAAAAAGACAAAGTAGGCCTTACAATTAAGGCTGAGTTTCAAAGTGTTTATATTTACTAATGGCCAAAATTCAGGTTCCCTGACAACACTACAGCACAAAGGCATTAAAATGTATTGTAGGCTCAGACGCCTCATATTCACTAGTCTGCAAACTAAGACTATCCTGTTCTTACTTTGTAGGATGCAGACTGTTATATGTATGTTCCCAAACATGGAATAATAATATGCTGCTCCTCTAACATATATCCTTTTATATCAATATAAGTTTGAGCTCATTGATCATTTATAGCATAATGTGATCATAAACTTTCAAAGTGACTAAGCAGACTGCTGTACTGTGCAAACAGTAGTGAAGTACCCCCCCGTGGCAGACTTGTCACAGATGTTTAGAAATGAGCCCAGAATCAGAGACATCACAGAGGTGAGGTTTCCCAGAAGCAGTGGTAACTCCCTACAGAGTACGCAATGCCTCTAAAAAAAGCACACCAGTGTTATATCTTAATGACACGAGCATCAATTCGCCATCTGCTACATCATCATCATCATTTAGGAAAGTACCTGAACTGAAACACAGCTGTTCTTAACTCCAGTTTGGCAACATTCCCATTAAACAAACTGCGTTACAGCAGCACCAAGTATACAATTCCACCATTTCACACCTACGATAGATATATTAAGTTTAACAAAAAGTAAATCTGCTACTAATGTCAGTACCATTTAAAAAATATAGAGAAATGACTCAAATGATTTAAAATCACAGCCTTTGTAATAAAAAAACATAAGAAAACCACACCCAAAGTCATTATCCAGTGTTGATTCATAACCGATGAGCCAGTTAATGTGAATCCTAGGACAATGTCAGACTGCAGTTCACCATGAAAACAACTATACAGCCAGCACAAATCTATATGACAAATATGATTTGACAAATTCTTACAAGAGCTGTTAAAGAATCAGAAGTAAAAAGTGGTTCTAGGACTGAATCAGCAGAATGAACTGAGATACTTGAGAAGGGTCGAGTTGCTTCACCTCGACTCTCCCTGCTTCCTCACCTTACTCTTCCTCTTCTTGTCTCCCCCAAAGAACTTTCCAATCTGATCCAGGAGGCTGGGGTTCTTCTTCCTCCGACCCAGCCCGAAGGCAGCCTGTGCAGAACTGCTTGCAGATGCCATGGTGCTAGTAGTAGTTGGTAGTAGATTTCTTTGTGTCAAATATGGGGCTCTTTGCGCTCTCTTAAATGAGACACCAAAGGACAAAGGAGGGGAAAGAGAGGAGAGGGAGAGGAAAAAAAGCTAAGCCTATTCTAGGTCCTGTTCGGGGCTCTCTGACCCACACTCTGAAGCCGCTCCACTGTGCTCCTGTATGGTCTGCAGCTCGTCCGATTCAGAGGGTCGGTCTTTGAAGGTGTTGTCCTCTCGGCCCGGGGCATCTCTGGAGAAGAGGCGGACCAGGTGGGGGCGTGGTGTAGCGGCGTCAGGGTCAGCTGTGCTGGCGGGAGGCCAGGGATGGCAGGGGCCCTCAGCGCCCGTGGAGTCAGTCACCACCGGCTTCGTCGAGATGCAGCCATTGTTCTTGCTCGCATCTGCCTCAACCAAGCCTGCGCAGAAACAACAAGGGTCATCTATGGGCTTGGGCCTGCATGGCACACAACAAACCACAGTGGCACAATGGGCTCTTTTCACAGAACTGTGCCCTTCCTGCTGCAGCAGAGACCAGCACAGCTAGCATTTCACATCTGAACTGGGATTAACCTGATCTGCTGAACTGGAAAAAGGTGAAAATGTGAGATTAAAAAAACATGAGTAGCTGGAAGGTTTTCACTAAATTTCTAAGAACTGCTTAGTCTCTAGCCCTGTGATAGACTGGCAACCTGTCCAGGGTGTACCCCACCTCTCACCCAGTGTCGACTGGGTTTGGCTCCAGCCCCCCATGACCCTGCTCAAAAATAAGCAGTATAGAGAATGCATGGATGGATGGATGGATGCTTTGTCTCCGAGCACAGTGTTTTGTTTGTCTTCCACCTTCTGTTTTCTTAAGTGCAGTGCACATTTTTGAGACAAAACATTGTTGGAATAGGGTCCTCACAAATCCCATCTTAATTTCAGTGGAGCACAATGAATTACAGGACCTGCATAAAACCTATTTTCAGTAGCTCAGTTAATACTGGATTCACACACTTACCCAGGAGAAACTTATATAGAAATTACATGGAAGCAGGTTTACATCTACCTGATGTCTTTAGGTGGTGCCATCTCTGTAATAGAGCAAACCCTGCATAACACGTTAGAGCCCATCGCCCTACAATATCATGGGTACATTTTGTTACAATATATTAGTTCCAGTGAGACAGAAATACAGCTGTTCCTGTAATGTCCACTTCAACAGCT